GAAAGAGTGGGGCCAGCCGGACAGTGCCCAGGGCCCTGAGGGATGGCCACCCACCAGACCTGCTGACCCCAAGCCTCTTGGTGCTGGGGCTGCAGACTGCCCTAACTGACCCCCACCCCATTTCATGGGAGACAGAGTCCCGGGGGCCAGCGACAGCAGCTCTGGCCTCAAAGCTGCCCAGGAGAGGCTTCTGCCCAGCCCGAGGGGGCTTGCCTAGGGTGGGGCAGGCTCTGAGCCGGGCCCAGATGGCTGCTGGCACAGGGTGAGAGCAATTGTGTCCATCCTGGGGTGGTCATTTGTAGGGACAGTGAGCAGACCAGGACCCTGGGCAGCACACCTGGGCCTGGCAGGGGTGGTCTGTGGCCCTCTCCAGACGCTGGGAGGGCAGTGGCTGGCCCCAGCCACCCTCTCCCTCTTGGGCATGAGGGGCCCACAAGCCCCACCCGCACTACCCCGGAGACTAGAGCCAGACTTTGCCTTCTGACGCCCACTCATAGCACGCCCCAGCATGAGGGGGTCAAATGGAGAGCTGCCCTGGATCCCCTACTGTGTGGGGTACCCCATCCCAGCCCCTCAGGGGGCAGGCACCTCCAGGCCCTGCAGCTCCCAGGTCATTAGTGGGTGGAGCTCCAGGGTGGGCATGGCCCAGAGGTCTGGGGGACTCTCAGGGGTGTTCAGCGGCTGGCTCGGGGTCCCCCGGCGGTAGGGGCAGCAAAGTACCTGGCGGCACGTGGGCGGCGGTACTCCAAGGTTGATTTGCTGTGGCCCCCCGCCGCTGCGCCTCTCCTGCGGGTAGACGCCCTTCGGGGCCCCGGGGAGCAGCCTGCGCGCCCGCGGCTCAGGCTCAGCCCCAGCGAGGCAGCAGTCGGGAGCCCGCGTGGCCCTCTCCCTGTTTGTTCGAACACTGGTCTCTCCTCTGACTGTGGCCGGGGTGAAGCCGAGCTGGTTCCGAGTCCGGAGCTTGGGCGCCTGTCCGCGCGCGCCCCCTTCCGGCCGCAGCCGGTCCTGCGCACAGTAGCATCTGGTCCAGGCTGGGGACGAGGTAGGGGGAGGCGGGGTTATGGGGTCCACCTGCATCTCCATCTGGGGCCTGTCCCCATCGCAGAGCTCAGAACCGTACAACGCTGATGACCAAGTCCAGCCCTTTAAAGCTGGAAAACGCCTAGTGCACGTGGGCTATGGCCCAGGAGCTCCTCAAAGGGGGCAGGGCTACGGCTCCGGGCTCCGGGTCTCCAGACCCAGGTGCCACCTCCACCCTGACCTCCCCTGGTGCCCGCGGACTCACACTGCAGGGGAAGCAACAGGGGAGACTGGAGGCAGTGGGAGTGCTGTGGCATGCCCACCCGCGTTCTCACCAGTGGGGTGCCCCCCCACAGGTGCTACAGCCCAACCAGCTCGCCAGGGGGGCTCCAGGAGCAGGGGTGCACTGAGGCAGAACCCCAGACCCCTCCCCAAACTAGGACTGCGCCAGAGGGAGAGAGGAAGAGAGAGAGAGATGGAAACAGGGGTAGAGACAGGCACAGAGGAGGGCAGACAGGGAAACCGACATGGGCTGGGGTCACCTCTGGGCTGGGGTCACAGAGGTTCCCGCACTGAGCTGAAAGGAGTCCACGTCGGTTTTCCCAGGCCCAGGCATCGACCCAGACTCCCAGACTCCAGAGGCCAGGAGAAGGTCCCCAAGAGCAGATGCGAACCAGGCCAGTTGGAAGGAGCATGGCGTGCAGGCCGTGGTCCCAGCACCCGTGCCCCTACTCCCCCCAGCCCCTTCCTGAACAGAGGCTGTCGCCCGGAGGGTGCAGCTTGCCCCCCACCAGCAGCCTTGCCTCTTGGGGTTGTTCCCATGCAGCAGCTGGGGCCCACCATGCAGGGACCTGGCCTCTCGCCAGGACCTCGCCACCCCCACGGCCACGGTCTCTGCAGGCCTGAGATTGGCCTCCTAAAGGCGCGGGAGCCCAGGAGGTGGCTGCTGGTTCGCCAGTCAGAGGTTACTGGAGTCGGGCATGAGGCATCTCGGAGCTTCAGAGAAACGAAATGGTCCCACTCAGCGACCACCTGCAGCAGCAGGCCCAGCCAGCCCAGGGAAGAGAAGCCCGCGGCGCAGAGGGCGGGCAAGCTCTTTGTGGAAGGAACTTGCTAACACGCAGCTCACGTGTGCGGGGCAGGCACAGCTGCAGGGCAGAGAGCACCGGGCTGGGTGGGGAGCACGCACACGTGAGGGGGCGGGGCTTGCGGACGAGCGCGGCGTGGGGCGGGGCTTGGGGTTCCCGCCGAGCTCTGGGCGGGTCTCCGGCTCATGGCGTCCTGGGTGCCTGAGCTTCCTGCTGCGGTTCCCCGAGTTCTCGCCTTTGAAGGATGCAGGTGAGGAGTTGGGGGACAACGAGGGTGTTAGGCCCAAGGCCTGTGCCCGCGGGTACTTCGAGGTTGGTGCAGAGAGCTTGGCCCGGCGGGGGAGGCGCCTACCGGGCCAGGGCTGTTCTGGGTGACTCAGGCCGGCCTTTTACCGCCCCCCCTCCCCTCCCAGACGCCCATGCCCCCCTGGGGCCTCCGCTGGCCTTTCGTGGTTCACACAACCGGGTGCTCTTGGCTTTTTTCCCCAGTGGCTCTGTCCTGTCCGGGGCCCCATCCGGCTGCAGGGGTCCTGGCGGGCACTCAGGCCTGGGCGAAACCCGCCTGGCGGCCGAGGGCCAGGGCTCCAACCTCCCGCGGAGCGTGCTCAGCGAGCGGGAGCGCAGGTGGGCCGCGGCTGCTGGGCGACAGAGGGTCCCAGGACGGGTGGGGAGGCAGGTTAGATTTGCTGCTGGGGCTGGTTCGGGGCCAGGTTCTGGCAGCAGGGACAGTGTCTGGCCCTTTCAGCAGAACCCCCCAGGAAGCTGTGGGGGGCAGCACTGACCTGAAGCCCTGGGCATATTGAGGCTGTCCGTGTTCCACACCCTGACCTCTGAGTCTGCCTCTGAGCCTCTCCTTTCATGCACCCCAAAGCAGTGGGGTGGCCCACAGAGCAGGAGACGCCAGCCCGGTCTGAGCCAGTGCTGGGGGGTTGGGGTCAGGTTGGTGCACCCTGATGTGGCCACCCGAGGTGGGCCCCAGCGTCGGGCCCTGTGTCCTGAGTGGGAGCTCACGGTCCTGTGTCCTGGAAGCAGGAAGCGGATCGCTGTGAGCTGTGAGCACCTGCGGGCCCTGCTGCCCCAGTTCGATGGCCGTCGGGAGGACATGGCCTCCGTCCTGGAGATGGCGGTGCAGTTCCTCCGGCTCGCCCACGCCCTGGGACCCCGGGAGCACCAGGTTGTGAGTGGTGGACGGCCCGGCCAGCCCCCCATGGGCAGTGCCCCCCACCCTTGGGTTTGCAGTCCTGCCTGTTATTACTCCCTGCTAGGAGGGGCTGGGAGGGCCTGGGCCCCCTGATGGCCTCACATGCCCCACTCCATGGACTGATCAGTCGCCCCATGTTCAGTGCCTGCTCTGGGGGGCCATGCCCCTGTGTCTCCTGGCCACGTACCACCTAGAACATTCCCTGCGCTTTGGGACCTTGCCTCCCCCAAGGCCCAGCACAGCTAGGGGGCGGCGGGCCTGCCTGGGCTGCCTGGGCTTCGTGAGGGTGGGGGTCCCGACGTTTGCAGTGAGGACCTGGGTGGGCCTGGCCAACTCAGGAGGAGTGAGGTGAGTTCTGAGCAGAGGCCGGACTGGGGCGAAGCTCTGGGTCAGGGCTGGGCCAGGCAGCGAGTCTGACCACGGCCTTGTCTGTGTCTCCTGCATCCTGTCGCTGTGTCCTCACTCCCCAGGTTCTCGTCCCCTCGCGAGGTGTACGGCAGCCTTGGCAGCAGGACGTCTTGCGGTTGGACCTCTTGGGTCAGGTTCCGGACTCCGAGACAGGAGCGCCCAGCACGGCTCCGTTAGTGTCCGGCGTGGGTCTCCTGCAGGGCTGTGGGCCTCCTGCAGGGCTGTGGGTCTCCTGCAGGGCTGTGGGCCTGCGAGCACGGCCACACCGGCTGTCCCCACCACAAGCCCAGGCCCAGCTTGGTCACCCATGACAAGTGACCCGCCAAGGGCCTGTCAGGAAGGGCTGACCTGTCCCTGCTGAGTCAGGTTGGGACTGGCCAGCCCGAGCTGGTTCTAGGAAGGGTAGCTTGGCTAGGCTTGAACTGGGCTGGCGCGAGGGCCAGGTGCCCAGTGCGCCCTCTGTCCCTGCCTCTGCTGCCCGTAGTCCTTCACAGTCCCAGGGCTCTGTGGAGGTGGGGGCCTGGCGGGGGGCCGGGAGACACGTACCCATTCCTGGCCACAGGCCCCGTCCTCAGGACTGGGGTTCTCAAAAGTAGGATGAACTGGCTCCTTCCCACAGTGGCAGGCCATGGCACTGCAGGGCCACTAGCAACATGAAGTTCCTGGCTGCCCCCAGCAGGGGGTGGTGTCCGAGAGCTGCCGGGCTGCAGGATGACTTGGGGTCGGGGAGGGGGGCGGTGGGAGAGGATGCAGATCTGGCCTGGCCCCAGCATGCCTCGAGTGTCCTGTGGGTGTGACCGTGGGCTCTTCCTGGTGTGGCCAGGTGGCCAGCCTCCCGGAACAGCCAGGGCCTTTGGCAGTGTGTGTCCGGGACCCTGGACAGCAGGGCATGGCTAGCACCATCTGGCTCGGGTCAGATCCTGACCGATCTGTGGCTCAGGGTCCCTCCCTTCGCCTGTGCACTGCTCAGGCACCAGGGCCCCCCGAGCTGCGCTGCACTGGGTGTGGACGAGAACAAGGGCCCACCAGGGACGTCCGGAACGCTGGGCAGGCTGCCCGCCCTCTCTGGTGAGTGTGAGCACGGCTTGGCACGGTGCCCTGTCCAGAGGGGCCATGCTCT